CTGTAAGCTATGTGGATACTTGATGCAGAGCACACATTATACTGTGCTGATATGAAAGGTGTGGCAGCTCTCACAGTGAACAATGCTGCAACCACTGCATTTGGAGCACTTGGCACCTGGCCATCAGGGCTGAGCAGAGAGTCTGTTCCTGATGCCACTAACAGAATGATGCTGTCTGTCCTCAGCATGGGCATATGGGGATTGAGCCTCAGAAGGCACCAGCTTCTTCTGGAATAGTGCAGTTCTTGCCACAAGACCAGCACTGGGAGGTTCTAAGAGCATGACCATCTTATCCTAAAGTTATTAAAGGATGGAGAGTGTTTGATCTCTCTGATGTTTTGTTGGGGTTTTTTCTCATATCTGCACCTTTTTTTTTTTTCTGTTCCTGTAAACCCAGAAAGCAACATATGCTCTAGTTTAAGCAGTCCCATCCTGCTGAAGGACTCACCACACCCTTTGCTGATAAAAATGCTACTATAATTTAGAAATGGGAAAAGGAGTTCTCCTTGCCTGTGTGCATGACCTTCTGCATAGCCTATGCAATGGTTAGTACTGTAGTCAGTCCTTGGTACTAATGCACAAAGGGAAAAAAATCATCCTAACCTCCACCTCTTTGCTTTGAGTGCACATTCTTACACACTTCTTATTTCTGCTCCCTTTTAAATCCTTTCCTTTCACACTGCTTCCTCAGACTTCAGACTTCATTGTTAGAGTGATGCCTCAAGTTCTGCCTGGCCAGAATATTTTTGTGTTAGAAACCAGCCTAAATAGAGAGATCACACATGGTAGCTGACTGGGAGGTACAACAGGATAGTGATGCAGAAAGGCTTCACACTGTGAGCAGGAGCAGCAACCTGACACAGATGAATTTCACCAGTAGATAGGGCTGCCTGGCGTGGTGGAATTAGAAGGAGGCAGTATCTATGTGCTTTAAGGGGTGGCGGGCTGGGAGTACAGTGATGTTAGTGGGTGAGAAGCAGAAAGAGGGTAGCAAGATCAAATGTTATCTTAGAATGTTTGATGCTGAGGAAGGGCACCCCCACAGTGGTGAGGATGATGAGCCAGGAAGTGATTTTTAGCAGCTTTGGTAGACTGATATAACGAGCTTCTGGTAGCTGAGAGCAGACTGCTAGGTGGCTGAGGTAGGCAGGGTTCTAACAGTGTTGCGTGGCTGGAACAGAACTGAGCTTCACATGCATGACCCAGCAGTAACCCTTTGGTCAGAGAGATACAGCAGTGCACTTGCACACAGCTGCTACTCTCAGCTTAGGTTTGTAGGGCAAGCTCGGCAGACTGATGTATTTGCCCATTGCTCAGTTGTCACATGAATAAGGCAAAGTAAAGAGGATATAGTGGGGAATGACTCTGTTTCCTGATTAGAGACATCTGCCACTTTTCCTAGCAGTCTGCATCTGCTGTGAGCAGAGCCTCCTCTCCTCAGTGAACAACAGTTCTCCTGGGGGAGAAAGGTGGTGGATTTAATTGTGTTTAGAGGATGAGCGATTTCCTTCCTCATTTCAGCAGCTGTCCGGTCCCAAATCTAAGACTTAGTGTCACTCCTACACATCTTAGTGCCAGAAAGGTGGCTGTCTAAAGAGCAGGAGCTTGCACTTGGTTAAGTGCCTGATATTGATATGAAGTCTTGGAGGCAGAAGGAATGGGGAGCAGCCTGCAGAGGTGTCTTGTGTTTCACCATAGCACTGACTGCTCCTACATCTGCACCAAGAAGACAGACCTTAGACCTCCTTCATTAAACATTACTTCCATTGAGGGAGCTTAAGGTAGAGCTTTTAGTAAAGGAGCCGGTGAGCCGAGGTTCCTGGGCATCAGGATGACCGGACAGTTCATGCCATCAGTTAAAAATACTGTTAATGTCTGTTGAACAGCTGATGTGTTTCATTCCAGCCACAGCAGTACCAGGTATGGGGAAGGGAAAGGAATGCTTTGTCTTACTGGGAAAATGCTTTTCCCATTTGCTTCTGCATTCATGTTACTATATTAATAGCTACTGCTAGAGATGATGTCTCCTCTTGGTATTGGAGAGTAGGTGTTGAAGAGGAGGAGAGGCTGAGCTGCTTCTGCATCATACTCCAAAAGCAGAGCCTGAGCTTGCCAATAGCAGCCTTACAGATTTAACCTTTTTTTTTTTTTTAATTTCAACTTTAAAGCTACTGGCACCTTGTAAATTTTTGCCTGGCCCCTTAATGTGCAGAGATCTGTGTGCTGACCTTCAAGGTAATGTCTCTGCAGCCAGAGAAGGTGCAACCAGTGTTCACCTGGCCAGCCAAAGGCTGCTGCAGCAGAGACTTCCAGAGCAGTGCTGGTGTCCTTGGGGGCTTTTTGAAGGACTCCTGTCTCCACTGCAGGATCCTGATGGGCTCTCAGCACTGGGGAAGGAGCCTGCCAAGATGAGTGGGCGGCAGTGATCCAGCTGTATGATGTCCCAATTCTGCTATCCCCTTCCTGTATCCCATGGGAAAAGTGGATCCTCAGACACAGGGTGGCAGAGCCAACCCCACCATGAGAAATAAGCCCCAGGTGTCCTGAGCAGAGGCACAAAGGGAAAGTTTCCTCTTTCTGAGCCTGCAGGGATTTAAGTGGGTCATCAATGAGGTTGCAGCACAACCAAGTCATGCTTTTGATGCAGCTCTGTAACACAAAACCTGCCCTGTAACTGAAGGAAAGAAAGCATTTCATCCTACGAAACAGCAGTTGTGTGGAGGCACCAGGTTGGTAACATGGGCTGCTGCGGTAGAAATGCTGGTTTCTGAGATGTGGCTATGCTGGATCATCACTGAGCCTAGAAGAACACATTTCATGCTGTTCTCCTGGCTAAATCCTAGTGTACAGAACTACATCCCCCTCCTCCCATTTTTATTCCACAGAAGGACAACACATATCCATCCCATGTTACAGACGTAGCTGCCACCTTTCTCTATTTCAGCAGTAGGTAGAGCGGTGCTCAGCTGGGAGAGCTTGAGAGGATGAAACATGAATTTTAAATATAGTTCTCTCACCAAAATAGCAGCCTATATTCCCTTACTAGAGATCTAAGGTGCAAGCAGTTCTCTGTGCACACACTGCAACTCCAAACAGCACGGGCTGCATGCACACACACAGGACAGTGGGAAGCGGGAAACTAATTAAGAAGTGATGAGTTTTTTCTGTGAACAGGTGCAGTCAAGTTGGCAACTGCTCTGTAAGTCCAGATGGACCCCCAAGGTCCCTGAAGGGCACACACAATGCATGTGGGTGCCAGCCCAAATTCCAGGCAGCTACCTGACTTTGTGTAAAGCACCAACCACATTAAGCCTTGCCTAGCTGGAAGAGCTGCACAGATGGGATGAGAGCTGGGGTTCTGCAGGCTACATAACCCTCTAACCTAGCAACCATGGGTCCCTGTCCTGCTCTCTGACAGTGCAGCAGCTTCAGCACAGGGCTGGGGTTGAAGGGTAGGGAGCCCTAGATGGATTGGTATCTCCAAAGAGAGCCTGCTAGGGAAGGCATCAGGAGTACCTGAAAGGCAGCCTGCAGGGAGAAATGGTGGGACAAGTCACTGAGTTTGCTGAGAAGAGCTGGCAGCAGAACGGTGGGCACAGACCGGGTTTCTCCAGCTGCATGTGTAATCCCATGAGGGTCATCCCCAGCATGTGTCTCAGGAACACCCCCAAGACTCTTGGCATTGCTGCAGGCCTGTGTTTTGCACTGTTCATTGAGCCTACGGGAAGAGCCAAGCTGGATATGACCCATAAATGTCCAGCTGCCTTGGGGCCAGCAGAAGCTGAGGACCACTGTCACACTCAATAGCAAGATGGGTCACTCCTTATAAACCGCCTCAGTGACATCCCTTCCTAACAGCAGCTGGAAAAAATAGTGAAAATGTAGGGAGGAAAGCCTGCAGGGAACATCATGCTGCCTGCTGTGGATCAGAGCAGCCCCTGGCTCAAAGCACCTCTCCAACCCTGGCTCTGGTGGCCAAGCCCCAGGTGCATGGCTGGGCATGAGCCGAAGCAGCACAGGCATTTCATGGGGGATCCCAGGGCTCACCTGTGCTGCCTGCCCTTCACAGCCAGCCAGCTCGCTTTGTGAGGATGACCATGCTTTGTAGTCAGCTCTGGAGATTCAATTACAGCCCGTGTTTCTGCGCCACTTGCTGAGAGCAGCAATTGATAGGCTGCAACCTGAGCTCCTCTGGAAAGCATTGGGAAAACCCAGAAAGTAAGCACAGCTACAACCATGGGCCAGCTCCAGGTGCTGGGCTGCTGCTGCCCACCACATGTAATGTCTCCCCTGAGACTGCAGAAGGGCTGCAGGGAGGCCTGTCCTGTTGTGTTGGGGCAGGCTGAGTGCAGCTCTGCACTGCACCCTGTGCCCCTGTATCTCTTGCAATCCCTCCTGTGGGAGTGCTCCAGAGTAAGCTGTGAAGTCCCATCACATGCAGGCATTCAGGGCTCCTATGGGGGCTGTCATCCTCCAGGCCCTGCTGCCATTTCAACCCCAAGCCCCACCTGTGCTCTCAGCTGGCCGTAACACTCCTGAGGCTGCACAGACATGGGGTTGCTATTGTAGTCCTCTACACAGGTCCTGCTATCTCCATCTCACTCTGGTCCTCACCCAGCCTCCCCTTACACACTGCCCCGTTCCTTTGCACCAGAGGTTACATGGGTTACAGCTCCAGGAACAGGAAGATAAACCAGAAGCTACGCAGACCTTCTTTTCACATGGTGAGGAATTATTTACACTCGGGTTGGGATTTGCTGCTCTACTAATTTTGTTGTCTCCTTACTTGTCCCACATTGCAGCCAGCGTTCCCTGCCCGCTCCCTTCCCTCACTGCCCCCACTCTCATGCTGCTTCCCCCAGCCCAAGGAAGGTGAGTCCTCACCTCAAATATCACTGAGTTTTACGAAGAAAGAGGAAAGGAGATGCAAAACCTGACCTTTAAAACAGCCACGTTCTCACATTTCCTCCCCCATCTCAAAGCAGCTTTTTGCTCTGCTGTAACCTTCTCTTCCCTGTCCCAGCATTTATTTATAAGTGCAATCAATAATTAAGGAGCTGCCTGCCTTCCTCGGCTGCAGTGTTGACAGAGGCACCGCTGATGCTTCCTGGCTGCTCTGCTCACTCAGGCTTTTAATTCTCTCCACTGCCTTGCTGGAAACACAGCAGCAGCCCACCCAGAGATGGCAACAGCAAGGCCAGCCCTGCCACGACGAGCACTCCCTGTATGCAAAGAGAATCCAGGCGGCTTTCCCTGCAGAGAGGACAAGAGGGCATGAAGAGAGGGCTGGGGCTCTGCCACCCATCACTAGAGGGAGGGCGATGGCAGCTGGCAGCTCCTCAGCCCTTGGCACCAGGCCATGCAGCCCTAGCAGGGACGAGGTGCATGAGGGGGAAAGAGGGCACCGAAGGACAGCATCAGCTCTGCAGCCCTCGGCGGTCCCAGGCTGTCCTACCCCATCAGTGTCCTCCCGCCGTAGCAACCACGCTGACATTGTCCTCGCTGCGCTGGGCTTTGTTTTCCCACAAGGAGAAGGGGTATTGCCCTCAGCTGGAGCAGCCCCTGGGTTTCTGAGCTGCTTTCTGGCAGCCATGTGAGGGAAAAGGGCTGTGCTCACCATGTAAAACCACCTGGGCTGGCAGACTTGATCCCCCCGTGCTCCATGTCCCTGCATAGCACCTACCCCTGCTGCAAATACTTTGTATTGATCAAAACACAGCACAACAGGGAGAGGCTGGAATTAGGGCAGGAGAGGGAATGATATGCATCCACAAGCTGAAAGGCACATCATGGACTTCCCAAGCAACTCAAGAGACCATGCAAAGTGAAGGAAGTATCTCCATGGGGCTCTGGAAAACAGCCTCCCACCAGCTCTCATATTCAGCCAAGGAAGGGAAAAGCTTCACACCTGCTCTGAATGCTGCAAAGGCTGCAAGAAACACCACCAGGAATAGAAGGTGCTCACCAGATCCTGTCCCTCCTCCACGTGGAAGTCCCACCAGCATTCCTCCAGCAGCCGCAGGGCTGTGGCACCAACCCCACAGGAACAGGGAGGGAGGCTGGCAAAAGTGTTTGGTGACCCTGGTGACCTTCCTTACAGCCCAACCTGCTGCAGCTAGCCCTATTTCTGAGCATTTCTCCTAGGTACTACTGAGAGGCTTGTCTTCCCCATCCCCATTCCCCAGCTGAGTGGCAGTGAGGGGACCTGTGCTGCAGGGAGAGGAGCTGAGGGGCCTGCTGCAACACAGAAGTGACAGTGGGAGACCCCAGAACTAACAGAGAGGCCCTGATGCCACAATGATGGCATTCCCTGAGTATCACTAAGAGCCAGCAGAAGGTGTCGAAGTCCCTTGAAGAGAGAAGGGATTGCTCAAGGGGTCAGCAGGTGCTGAGCCAGCAGCAGCTGTGGCCACATCTTCAATTTTATCCATTAATTATAACAGCCTGGGAGTTGGGCACAGGGAGAGCAGGTCCTCTCTTCTCTGGCATCTCCCAGTCTGGAATTCTGCCAGCATCCCCCACCTCAATCCCACACAGCTGGGGCTGAAGCCCAGAGAAGCAGAAGAAAGCACGACAGCTTGAAGTCTGCATCCACTAGAGTAGTGTAGTTCTAGAGTTGTGTTGGTTCTTCACCATTTTTCTGTAGCTTAAAGGGTGGAGAGGAAGGGAGGGGGGCCTGGCACAGCTCCTGCTGGAGCTAGTTTGCCATCTGGCATTTGGATGAGATGCGAGGGGCTGAGTGGGAGTCAGCAGAGAGGCCTGAATCTTCTGGCCTGATGCTGGAGAGATCTCAGCAAGAGGAAAGGAGGGAGTGCTCCAGCAGCAAGGAGAGGGGCTGCAGACAGGAGCTGCTGGGTCCCTGGGCACAGCTCCTGCCCGCCTGGAGGTTTTCAAGATTCTGTCAAGAAAGCATATGATCTGAAAAACGCATGTGAAATATGAGACGAGCCAATTAAACTATCTAGCCTAGGGAGTTCCAGCACCAACATCAGAAAAACGCATCCACCCTGCCATGAGCAGCAAGCATCCTAGAAGGAAGGGGTTCCCCATGGTGGAATGCTGCCAGCTGCTGAGCCTCCCACCTGCCAGCATCCTCAGGCTCTTTACTAGGACTATTCCCCTGACCTCCTGCTTGGTTCCTGTGTCATAATGGAAAGGCCAGGGCAAAATGAGCTTCACAGCTCCTGCTGCTCTCAGTACCCAGGAGTGAGCCTGCAGGACACACTGGGAGCTGAGCGCCGCTCCCCACCGTGCGGTGCAGGCAGCAGCTGGGCTGGCTCCTGTGAGCAGGGCAGGGGGCTGGAAGGTGGGAGGTGGAATCAAATCCAAGCTAATTAAGGGTAATTACTGCTCTTCCCAGGAAGCAGTAGGAGACAGAATCCACAATCAACCCCTCTATTAATAGCTGTCAGCAGCTGCACGGTTCCTGCTGGGACCCAGGGAGAGTGGAAAGCTTTGCGGGAGAAGCAGCACACATGCATGCAGTCCTTCTCATCCCATCAGTGCTCCCCATTCCTTCAATGCTGGCTTTACAGGGAGCTATTTTCTCTCCTGTTCCTTTCACCACTTTCTCTAGGACTGCAGGAGATGTCAACTGCTTTTTAGCAGCATTTTTCAGCAGGAACCAACAGAAAGAAGCGTTGGAGACAGAGCTTTGGATCTTGTCTCCACCCCTCAGCATCTTCATTTTGTCCAGCCCCCATCAGTCTGGCCACTTTCTGTGCTTCCCATTGAAGCAGCACAAGCCACTTTGCAAGGAGAGTCCCTAGAAGCAAGGACAAACTTCACCAGCTCCTGCCCAGGCAAATCCCTTTTGTGCCAGGCACGTGTTGAGCAGCAAATGCCCTTCTCGCAGTCTCCAGCCATACCCCAGGGGTGTGCACTACACAACAAACCATGCCTGACAGATTGGGGTGCCCCACTGCAGAAGCCACCCCATATGGCATAAACAACTTGGACAAAATTGTGTCCTAAACTGCAGTGAATTCTGACCATTCTGATGTGACATGAGGACAAAAGGGACTGCAGGAGATGCCCTAGCAGGGCTGGCTGGGAGGATTCATGCATGGATTTTTTCCCCTTCCACTGCTGTTCCCTCCAGATGCCACTACAAACACGCAGCCTGCCGCTTGCTGCAGGCAAGAGCCTTGCCAGATGCACTGTGCAGTCCCCGAGGAGGCAGCTGGTGCTCGTGTCATCCCATCAGGGAGAAACCCAGCAGCCCATTAGAGTCGAGGAGAGCTGCTGTGCTGCAGGTTGCAGGAAAGAAAGCAACTGGGCAGCTCAGCCACCTCCTCTGCTCAGGCACACAACCACACACGCTGCCCCTTGGAAATGGCAGCAGTCCCTGCCCAGTGACACTGCCACAGGGCTGCTGCCAACACTGCAGGGCTGTCAGCAGTCCTTGTGCTGTGTGCTGCTGGGAGAGGACTCCCCATGGGCTCCGTGCCCACTCACAAAGCGTGAGATTTTGGTGCTGCAGAGATCATACTCAGTTATGAGCTTAACTCTGTGGCAGATCAGGCAAGGATTCTCCCTTCTCTCCTCAGAGTGATGTGGTGCTGCATCCGCCCTTCAAAGCTCGACTACCAGCAAGTCCTTACAAGGACACAAAGAAATCAGAGTGGGAGAAGCCAGGCAGGATAACACATTTCTAGTCTCATGCCTGGGACACCAAATAGGTTGTCACCATCCAGCCGTCAGCCCCAACAGCATCCCAGCCTCAGATGACCTGTGAGATGCGTTCCTCCCATCAGTGCACAGGCTCCACTCCTAGTTAGCTGTTGTAGTATTAGCTTCTAACAAAGTTATGCTGTTCTCTAGCTCATTTGAGGAGCAACAGTGCCTACAATTGCACACCCTGCTGGAACACATGCATGAGAATAAATGTTCAGGTAGTCAACAGAGGAAGAGTTAATGCAGCCATTTTGAATTTGCTGCTCCTTATTTTCAGTGACTCAAGATCCAGTTACATCCCACTCCACAACTGACTGCAGTACGTGGGCCATACTGCCTCTGGGATCCCATGGCTCTGTACAGACACAGCCAGACCCCACTGGACCCCAAAGCCTTCAAAGCACAGCATCTGCATTTCGTTACCATGAGGTGGGCTGAAGGCTTTGCCATTGCAGGCTGCGTGAAGGCTCTGCTCAGTGCAAGAGAGAACATTTATGGTTATGTATTACCACCGGTTTTACTTTTCCAAGCTCTAGAAAGCCCCAAAGATGTTTAAACACCAGCCTGGTCCATAGGCTGCCTCGCCTGTCCCCAGAGCTGGGGGACAGCAGTGTCACCCACCTACAGAAGGAAGCACATTGCTGCTGAGGTCCTGCTTCACACCGCTGAAAGTCACGCAGCACGCCTCAGGATCTTGATGTTTTTTTAGGTCTAAATGCCTGTTGTTTCACTGTGCAGTCTTCAGGGTAATCTCAGGTCACATTCATCACATCCACACAACCAGGAGGTGTATTTTAAACGAAAGGCAGCGCAGCTTCCCAAAAATGCCAGCTATCTCGGGACTAGAGAGAGTATCATGAGAGCTGGCACCAGCATTGTGTGCACTCCCACAGGGCAGCAGCGGCTGAGACAGTGCTGTACCCACTGCCGACCCCGTCGGCACTATGAAAGTCACATTTCAGTCGGAAAATCTGTGGGCAAATACCGAAACGTTTCCATCTGAGAAAGGGGAAAAATGCGATGCGCGCGCTTCAATCCCTTTGTTGACTCCACATATTGTGTGCAGTCCCTACACGTGCTGTCGACGTGTCCCCTAAGCCCTGCCTGCTCCCCGCCGGTGCCCAATTCGTTGTTGCCGGGCTGGGACCAGGGCCAGCCCTGCAGCCACCGCGTCCCCGGATACCGGCGGCCGCCCCGGCAACAGCCGCGTCCGCGACGGTGAGGGGCGGCGGGTGCGGGGCCGGGGGCGGCGGGAGACGGGAGGCTGGGAGAGAGAAGGGGAGGTGGGCTGTGTGTCTGACGGGCCGTGGGTGGGGGCAGCCCGCTGCTTTCCTTGCCATCCTGTGGACCTCCCCCCATCTCCCCTCCCCTGTTCCTAAAGAGCTTTCCTGCTCCTGAACCCCCCCCTGCAGCGACCCTCACCTCCGCTGGTGTCACCCAGGACCGTGCTGTGGCCCTCGGCGCTGGCTGGGTCGTAGTGGCTACATGAGCCCTATTCCCGAATGTCTGTCTGGCCTCATTCTTCCTGATATCCAGTTACAGACAAATTCCATTATATTTGGAGCTAAGTAGATTCCTCGTCTGAGATGCATTTTTTCCCTTTACTTAAGGCCCATTGCGGAGACTCTTTAGGAGCTGCAATATGCTGTCTTAATGGATCCTTAGCATCAGCCGTTCTGTGCGAGTGCCAGGGAGCGCTGCAAGGCAGTGCTGCTGGCTGTGGGACTGCTGGCCCCTGTCTCCTCTCACCTGCACAGGGTGAGCACAGCACAGAGGCAGGGAGAGCTGCCAGCATGTCCAGGGTACTGCAGCCACGTCCTGAGAGCTTCATCTGGTTTTGAACTGTGATGGGAATGCTGCCTCAGCCGGGGGCATAGCCATACCCAAGGTGAATCAGAAAAGCCGATGTCCATTCCCGGAGTAAAGCAGGTGTGACTGGAAGGCTGCTTTGCTGTTTAAATGTGTGCTCACCATCTTCCAGCCCTTTTCTGACCACAGAAAAGCCATTCAGAAGCCCCATTTAGCTGTGACTGGCCTGGGGGACAGAGTGACACAGATGCTTTTTGAATAGGATGAAGGGCTGAGCAAGGAGAAAGCATTTTTCCCAGTAACCTCACCTCTGTCAGTGCCACCTCGCTGCCATCCGACTGTGCTGTGCCCTTCTGCAAAAGCCCAGCAAGCACCAGGAGCTCAGTTTTCAGCAGGGTTGTGCAGTCAGTTCTCTCCTCTTTCCTCTCAACAGCAGAGGCAGCAAGCTAGCAAAGCCCACTACAAAGCTTTCAGGGAAAGGGGTCATGCTGGCTGAGGCAGCACAAGCTGGGACAGCAGAGAAGGGATTGAATGGCTGCAGGGCTGAGGAATGCTGTGGGACACGATGCTGAGGGGCTGTTGGCTTCTATGTATGACATCATCCTTTTGACTTTGCCCTTTGCCCTGAGCCATCCTCTTGGTCTTATAGGAAGCTGCCCTCACTTCTGACACTGCCAGCCCACGTTCTGCCTGATGCTGCTTTTAGGTGCCTCTAACCCATACAGCCCAGTAAGGGTCAGCATGGCTCTGCACACCCTGACAGAGGATCAACGAGCCTGGGTATTCAAGAGGCAGGCTCATTGCTCGTACCCATCAGGGCTTCCAGACAATCACTGCACATGTGGATGTAACAGCTGAGGTTACAGCTCCTGAGGTTGGGGTGGGAAGCAGCAAATGGGAAAGTTTAGTCTGGGAAAGCTCTGCATACCTAATAGGACCGAGCATCCTGTCTTCTGCTCCAGGCTGGTTCTTTTAGCTCTTATCTGCTGATGCTCAGGGTGGGTCTGGACAGGTCTGAACCATTTCATCAGTTAATGGATGCTTGGAAGGAGTTCAGCAGCAGAGTAATTGAGCAAAGTATTAAAAAGTGCATGCACTTATAGTAAGCATCTGTCTGTAAATACAGGCAAACTGGATCAGACCAGAAGATGATCTGGCCCAGTATCCCTTCTGGCAGTGTCTATAAGCAGGTGGAAAACCACGAGTATGTGTTCCTTTCCTCCAGTACTCTCCCCACCTCCAACCATCTTCAACTCAGACTGAGCCAGGTGTGGCTTCTGAGCATTGACTCATTCACAAGGGGTTTCTTTTCCTTGAATTTATCCTGCAGCCTCCACAGACTGTCAGCACCTGTAATGTCCTGCGGCAAGGCATTCCCCAGTGAAGAACCCCCTTTTTCTTTTGTTTTAAACACATTCTGACAGCTTTGCCTGTTTCTTTTCTGGAACAGACAGCGAGCAATCAATTCTTGTCCATTCTCTTCAACAACACTTGAATTAATACCACCTTATTATCTGTTCATTCCATGGTATCTAAAGACCTCTTTGTGCAAGGTACTGCATAAAGATAAGGCTAAATAACAGTTGCTTTGTTGCGGTGCTCCAGGTGCAAGCAGAGAAGCAGAAGGGCTGGCTGAAACTGTATGATGAAATAGCACAAGCAGAGCACCCTTACGGCCGGCCTCCATCTAAGGTTGCCTTTTTCTTAATCAGGCAGCCTGGCTGGAAAGCGCAGTGGTGTTTTCCTGATCCCGAGCCATTTTCCTCGTGCTTCTGCTGAAGGAGAAGCAGGTGCTGAGCAGGATGCCGCAGGCAGCAGGTGGCAGGGGCAGAGCCATCCCCTCTCTGCGTCCCTCCCAAAGCAGGTTCATGGCTGATTCGTACTGCGTGCACCGCATCATCGAGGATCCCGAGTGGTGCCTCATCGCTGTCCCCCCGCTCACTGAGCTCTGCCTGCAGCACATCGTCCAGAATTTCACAAGTAAGCATGGTGAGGAGTGCTGGTTTTTTGGGGAGCAGAGGGGCAGCGAGGAAGGCAGAGGCAGCTGGAAGGCACGGTGTGGTACCCAACCCTGCCAAAGGAGCAGATGGGGAAAAATATCTCCTCAGGCAGCTAGTTAGACAAACTGCTTAGTTGCTAAGTATGTACTTGTACGCTACAGGGATGGCTTTCGTCTTCTGGGCTGCTATCCAGGACATGACTCTACCCTAACCTTGTCCTGTGGCTTCTTCTTCCTGCTGGACTCAGCTTGGCTGCAAGCAGGGCTCTGAAGTCGCTGGTTCCCACTCCTGGGTCACGCATTACAGCAGCAAACAAGAATGCAGCCCCATCGTGCCAAGTGCTTATAAAAGGATGCAGAAATACTCCCATCTCAGAATACATGTGCTCACAGCTTCAGGCTTCCTCCACAGCCCTTGGTGGGGATGTGACAAGTTCTATCCTTAGGCAGCAAATGTGCTTTTGAAGCAGGTGGGTATATGAAGCATAGTATAATATAAAAAGCACGTCTCATCTGGAACTGACTGGGAGAGGGGAAAGAAAGTGGCAACCCATCAGTCAGTAGTGGAGCAGCAAAGATCAAAGACAGGACCAACAATTTGTCCATGCTGGGACTGTAACTACATACATGCACAAAAAAAAAAAAAAAAAAAAAAGAGTAATTTTTTGCCAGCTTAGCTCCTTGCACCATCTGCCAGATATTGAGAGGTGAATCAGCATCAGCAGGGGGTCTAGGCAGAACTGTAGGGCCACCCCTGGTTCCTACAGCCCACACCAACCTCTCCTCCTCTCCATTCCCTCCAGACAACCCTGTTTTAGATCGTCTTCCACCTGAGGACCAAAGGAAGGTGCTGGCCAGGCTTCCCACAGGCCTTCCACTCACTGTCACTGCCAACCTAATAAGTGATGAGGACTACTGGAAGAGGTGCTGCACTGACCGCTGGCAAGTGTGTGATATCTCCAACCACGGAGGCAGCTGGAAGCGGATGTTCTTTGAACGTCACCTGGAGAACATCCTAAAATGCTTTGTCCCCAACACCACAGACCCTGACCAGGTCCTGGAGCTCATCCCACTCTGCAGAGGCTATGTGCGGAAACTGGAGGTTGATCAGTTCCTGCCACCGGTGAAGGAGGATCAAAAGGAGGAGAGAGATGACCTTTCCGATTCAGGGAGTGATTTGGAGTTTGGTGAGGTCTGCATTCATCACTATGACCTGAGAGCCCTCGTTCCTGCTCTCCCTCTCCTCGAAGAGCTTCATCTTACTTATGGTGTGAAGGAATGTGGCATGAACTTTGAGTGGAACCTCTTTAAGTTCACCTACCAGGACTGTTGCAACCTGGCTGCTGCCGTGAAGATGTGTCACAACTTGAAGGTAACATATCCCAAAATTAACCTGTCTTCCTCAACTCAATCTTGAAATTGCCTAGAGGAAGAAACCCAGGGGCCAGTTTTGGTTGCTGTCAGCATACTTACCTTTGTAAAGGGAGGTGAATCCTATCTCTCCTGATCTGGGGGCTTGAGTGGTTGTGCAAAGGCCAGCCCAAAGCATTGGTTGTTTTTCTGTCCTTTACCCTCACAGATTTTCAAGCTGACACGCAGCAACGTGGATGATGACAAGACCAGGCTGTTGGTCCGCAACTTGCTGGATCACCCCTCCTTGGTGGAGCTGGACTTATCCCACAACCTCATTGGGGACAAGGGGGCACGAGCCGTCAGCAAGCTGATCAACTGCAGCAAGTTAGAAATCCTCCATCTGTGTAACAACCAGATCAGTAATGAGGGTGCCCAGGCTCTTGCCCAAGCGCTGGCAAAAAACTGCACCCTGACCTCCCTGAATCTGCGCCTCAACCACGTGGAGGACGAGGGTGGGGAGGCCGTGGGCCATGCTCTGCTGACCAACACCACCCTGAAGTCCCTCCACCTGGGAGGCAACAGGCTGGCAGAGCCGACAGCTCTGGTTTTCTCCCAGGTCCTCACTCAGAACTCCACCCTGACATGTATCAACTTCTCGTGCAACCCCATCGGGCCGGTAAGAGAAGCACCTTCTCCAGGCAGCTTGGCATCCTGCATGGATGTATGGTTTGATGTCTGTCTGGGCAAGCTCATAGGGACCCTGCTTAAGCAAAGGGTTAGAGTGGGTGAGCTCCATAGGTCCTTACCAACCTCGCCCATCCTGAGATTCTGTTGCAAAGCCTGATCTGCCTCCAAGCCATGGGTCAAATGTATCCCTTGGTGTCTGTAGTCTTGCTGTGATAACAATCAGCTGCAAGGAGTAAATAGACAGGAGTAGACGGGAGGATGGAGGTCTTCCATGGTGACACATATTTCTATCACTCACAACGTGTTCTCACAGGGCTCTCAGGCAGAAGCTGGCTTTGGCTTCTGGGCAGAGAGGGGCTTTCCCCACAAGAGACTGAAATCCAGGCAGTGTACTTGGGAAAATCACAGCGTGTTTACCCACATGGGAGTAGATGAAAACAATAGGCGACACGAGATGAGCGCCTCATTTGTACCCTCTGTACTTTGAATCTGCTGTGCCCTCTGGCATGCAGCAGAGCACAGTTCCACCCTCCCCAGAATCTCTCCTGTCCATTACACACTCAGAGGAGATTGTTAGAAAATTGACTCTGTTGTTGAGCGCCTTTAATTCAACCCACAGCTCTGGAACAGTGCGGTAGCTCTGAAGTGACACATCTGGATGCTTGTATGTGGCTCCTGAGCCATAGGCTCACATTTTGCAGGCAGAGGAGCTGCTGCAGATCCTACTGCATCCCTAAGAGCTGCAGTGTGCACCATGCCCACAAACCAGACCATTGCTCTTCTGCTGATGAACTTCAGAAATCTGAAACTGGACAGCTAAATTCAATCATGCCGATTCTCAAACTTTCTGTGCTGCTTCAATTTTTCTCACTGTCACAATAAAGAGACAGCAAGACCAGCTGTCCCTGCTGGCAGGAATATCGGCATCATTATGTTTGACAATGGCTTTAAAAGGATTTGATGGCAGAAAACCTTTTGTGAGATCTCATTTTCTTTTGTTCTGGACATGGAAAACTGCTTGAGCGTAACGATACAAAGGGACATGGGATGGAAAGGATTAGAAGGGTTTTTGCTTAGTAAATAATAGTCTTTGTGGTTAGCATCTTCCATTTGATGAGCTTTTTCAGAACCCACTTGTGAAGTGTTTTTATCTTTATTTTATATATAGGGAAATGGAAATCTCTGCTAGGAATGCATCAAATTCTGACTTCTCTCTTCTTAGAGAGGCTTCTCTCTTTTCTCACGTTCTGTCCTTTTTAGCAAAAGGTCTAACAGTCAGTGTGCTGGGGAGAGGACTGCCTGCACAGGGGAGTTGGGGTCAGGACGTGTGTTGGGCACCTGAAAGAGAAGAGCTGTGGGAAAAAATGTCAGATTGTTGCATCCCTAAAGACAATGCTTCAGGCAAGGGAAGGAAATGCAAGGTGTGCTGCCTCTCTAAAGCTGTCTACATTGGAACAGTTTGGAACAGGCTGCCCAGAGAGGTTGTGAGTGCCCCATCCCTGGAGGCACTTAAGGCCAGGTTGGATGGGGCCCTGTGCTGGTGGGTGGCAGCCCTGCCCATGGCAGGGGTTGGAACTGGATAGGCTTCAAGGTCCCTTCCGACTCAAGCCATTTTATGATTTTATAATTCTGCATTGCATTGTCTGACCCATGCAGCATTAATTATATGAGATGTTCCCCCACAAAAACCAGCCCTGCCCAGGAAATGGCGCCCAAGGGAGATGAGAAGCAGTGCATCTAATCCCACTGCTGCCCATCCCCACCCAGCAGGGTGCTGGAGACTGAGGGGCAGGGCAACACAGACTCCTCACAGGTTATCCTCAGCCCATGCCATTATCCAGCCTGAGCTTGAGGACTCCTGACATGATACCCAGAGGGAGTCATTAGCATGTGTCATATCACTGTGCGCTGCATAAGGCTACACTCCTTCCACGTCCCTTTCTAGTGAGCTACATTTCAGGCTTGGGAGAAGCCTTAGGCATTTGTGTCACTGTCTGACGGGCTCTTTCTCACCTGCTGCAGGATGGTGGGAAGCAGCTGCTCGAAGGGCTCAGGTGTAACCAGATCCTGACTGAGTTTGACCTCCGCCTGGCAGAGGTGGACGAGGAGAGCGAGTACCTCATCAGCCAAATGTTGTGGGCCAACAGGGATGCTGCCCGCCTGCAGCCTCTGCTGCAGCAGCCTGCTGAGCCTCTCTGACCCGACAGCTGCAGCAAGCAAGGAGCTGCAGGTACCACTGACTGCTCATGTAGTGTCTGGGATAACCAACCTACCCCTGCACCCATGGTGGCAGGAGGCTTCCAGCACCCCAATCCAACCCCTGCCCTCAGGGCAACGCAAGGGCTTGGGTCTCTCTCAGCTCTGAGTGGCTCCCACACCCACAGACCCACTGCTGACAGCCGCTTCCATGAGTCATCTGAAACTTTTATTACACCGATTTGGTTTACAATCTTTGTACTTTGATATTTCCAACAAAAAAGGCAACATTGTGATATACTGTTTGTACATATATAGAGAGACGGACAGAGCTAGATCATATTGACATAGTTGAAAAGTAAAAACTGTTCCCAGTGCTCACAAAATAATTTGTTCACCATGTACCCGCTTGTGCCTTGCTCTGCCTGACGGACACAGGCCACCCGCTTGATGCCATCCATGGCCATATAGATCAGAAAGGATCGAGTGCGAGGCTGTCCCTGGTACCAGCAGCCACACAGAGGGGCCCTGCGGGTCACCCCAGAGCCCTTGCAGAGTATTGTAGTGCCTTTCTGAACCGTTCGTGGATGCTTCAGAGGCTACATCTGCAAGAAAATACAGCCAGGGGCAGCTGCTGCAAAACCTTCCCACCCGGGCTCCTCCAACTACTTGTTTTCCATCCTCGAAACCGAGGTATTGAATAGATTTGTTTTATTTGCACTTACAAAATATTTCCACTGAATGACACACCTGAATGAGATGAGAACTCGTGTTCAGAAACAGCAGAAAAGACGACCCAGGTCAGCTTCAGGCTGAAGGAGCAGCTCCAGCAGTGAAGGTGGGATGGGGGCTTAATGGGAATGTCTGGTCCTGGGAAAGCCTGCAGGTAGCTCCAGGTACAGGACCATGCTGGACAGCCAGTTGTGTGATGAAGGCTGATGCCAGGAGGGCAGGGATGGGATGGTGCACGCACTGGCCAGCACAGCCACTGAGGACCAGGGGTGGAAAGAAAAGGGCTTGTGAAAAATGCATCACCTGAAAAAAACGTTGAATTGCTTTCCAGGATGTTCTCGGTTCCTTTTGCTGCACGCAGCCAAGACTGCCAGCACCACCTAACCACCATCCAAGCATGCTCCTGGGCTGTGTGCCTCCCGTGAACTGCTTGGACACCACAAGAGACCAGCAGCCTATTACCGCCAGCGTGTGAGGCTTCAAACTGTGGATGAATTGGTAACAATTAAAGCCCCAACAGCTGATAGCACCAGCAGTTTCTCCAAGTGTGATGCTGCCATTGCTGGCGGGTCACTCATCACCTTCAGGCTGGATTACAGGTGCGAGCAGCACCAGCTGCAGGCACCCATGCAGGCTGGGAGCATCCCCCTGCCCGTAGGACATGTGTGGGTCTGCATCACACTGACAGGAGGATGGGAGGAGGAGGCAGGGGAATGATGGAGGTGCTGGGGGCTGGCTGGCAGTCACGGCAGATGGTGAGCCGTGCTTCATGCAGGCAGGGCGAGGAGCCGGTGGCGGCTTCCTGAGCCTCTTGGCTTCCGCTCACAGCAATGGAGGCACCGGTTTGCAAGGTGTCATACTGGCATATGTTGCCTATTGGATGGCAGGCTGCTTTCAGGCACCAGCTGGGGGTGGAGGAGCAGGAGGATGCGTGGGGATTGGTACTGCATTCAGCATCCCTTTGCTTCGGCAGGGCTGGATTTATCCGTGCTGAACTCCATCCCTGCCTGCCGCCTACCTGCTGGCCATAAGAACAGCCAGCCACAGTGTTGCTGAGTGGTATTTAGCTACAGGGGAGGGAGAAGGGGGCTGTGCGTGGCCTATGGAATGGTGTAGTAAAGCCAGCTGTTCTCCTGACAGAGGGGACATAGCCCAATCCCTCCTCTGGTGACAGTGGAGAGGGCTGAGGCCTGAGCTGGTGTGTCTGGGCAGATGGAAGCAGCACAGAGCCAGGCTTCGCATCAGCCTCCCTGGGCAGAGGGGACAGCTGAGATGTGAAGCGCTTCTTCCCTGCAAGCTGCGCCCGAAATAGCCAGCCCTGTCAGATCCCCATCCTTGGCCATGATGGATTAGCCTCTCCCAGGCACAAGGCAATTTATTCATTAGTGACATTTACACCTTGTGGCTGCATTATCCATTGCTGTTTGGTGACACGTGCTCCGGCTGTCAGTGCTGGTCCTGGAGGCAGCAGTGTTGCTCTGACGACGCAGCAAAGCCCTGCCTGGGCACCTCAGCTGGGAAAAGCCTCCTCCATCCAGTGTGTCTTCAGGCAGGAAGGGTCTACCCTGAAAGTCTGCTTTGCCCCAGGTCTTCTCCATCCTTGACCCAAAACACAGCTGCTGCAGTATAGCAGCCTCCCGCCCTGCCTTGCCTCATGTCTCCCACAGAAATCCCCACATCTGCAAAGCCTCCGACAGCTGCTCTCGGCCAGCCTCCATGGGCACAGGGCATGCAGGTGGTGCTCAGTGAGCAGTGCTCGGAGGCAGTGCAGCCAGACTGGCGGGTTGCTCCACCAATATGCTTGAGGTCACTATGAGTCCACTGACATCTCCCAGGAGAGGACTGGAATGGTGTGAGCTCATGGCCCAGAAGGAGCTGATGGAAGAGGGGAGATTTGGGAGCTCGGAGTAATGTTAGTTTTTGCATTGGATTTGAGGAGGGTGAGAAGAGCTGGAGAGCATTGGGCAGGGAGAAGATCCAACAGCTCTCTCCTCTCAGCCAGCCAGCAAGGGATTAGCTTCATCTCAAACACAGCTTGTTCCATGCTTTTATCCCTGCTCTCTGCCAGTCACTGCAGCAAATGTGACACTTTGCACCATCTTCCTGCAAAAATCAGGTCAGGAGTTTCCTCTCACAGATCATTAAGCAATGCCCTGCCACGCTGCAACCCACTCGCTACAGGAACGAAGGGGACATACCAGACCAAAGCCACCAACACATCCAGACTTACCCATGGAGGTGCACCCAAATAACAGCCAACCACTTCTCCTTGTGCTGAACCAGAGGGATGTCTGCTTTCAACCGACACTCTCTGCATGTGCTCTGGAGATGTGCACAGACTTAGGAGCGGGTCTTCCAAACTTTTTCACCCTGACAGGTCTGTGGGCTGCCACCCGAAGTCTGAACTCATGGCATGCCAGCTGACAGCGCTGCTAATGGATATTTGGATGGCGGGACTGATACAAAATACTAAGTCATCTCAACACATTCTAGCTAGGCTTTTTTCTTTCACTAATGTAAGTAGCTAAGATTGCAGAAGCAGCTTGCATTGATGGAGAGTGAAAGAACCTCGTGTCTGTGTGTGAAGTTACTTTGCTCTATGAAGTCCACTACGTTATAACCACAGCAGGCAATACATCCACTCGCAAAGTTCGAAGGATTGGAGAGGCTTCAGGATGGGCACTGATTTCTCATGAGCTTCATTTCCCTACAAGTTGGAGGTTTACAAAAAACAACCAAACAAAAGGCCCCAACAGAAACAGTCTCCACTGGAAAGAGGGAAGGAATAAAAGCCAGTTAGCTTTCCAGCAGCAGCTGTGCTTATTCTCAGTGCTGGACGGACATGCTGCATACTGTCATGGGCTCCTCAAAACTGGGCAGTACCTGGAAGTGTTGCATAGGTTGATGTATCTGATAGTAGAGCCTGGTTGTGGGCTGCAGGAAGAGGAGCTTGCTGAACTCCACAAGGAAACTGTCCTTCCCCAGATGAGACAGATGGTGTGAGGAGGGAAGGAAGAAGGGAAGGCCATGAGTCTTGCAGGTTCAGTTCTGTCCTTGGAACTTTGTTTTTCCCTTTGCATGTAGAAAGGCTGCAGTCCTGTGGGAGAAGTCTTCTCTCCCAGCACAGCAAAGGTCAGTTTTCTCATTAGCTGGCTTTTGAGGGAGTAAACAAGATCACAACCATGAGTGTAATGTTTCCCTTCATGGAGCAGCTGTGATGGAGGCAGCAAAGCAGAACAATTCAACCCATTGCTTGAAAGACAGTAGAAATTCAACATTCGTTCATGTTGGCCAAGTCCCAATGTGAGCTCTATGTTTCAAAGCAACACTGCAACAGATCAGTTTGTCTGGATTCAAGGACAGATCATTCTGAAGAGTTGCTAAGCCATGCTCACACTGGCATAGCACCATGGGCTTCAAGAAAGTTACACTAGGAATGCATGTAGCCTATGCATGTCTATCTGAAATGTGAATAAGCACCTTTCTCATTTTTCCAGAATGCCCATGGAAACAAGAACCCTGAATGGGCTCAGCCCTAAGTCTCTAATGGGCTCCCAGGCCCTACAGCCTTCAGTCCCCAGATACATCTGGCTCAATGGAAATTACAGGCCCACATGCAACGCAGGAGGCAGAATTACCAAACAGAGCTAACAAACCATAACACAGTTCTGCGACAATACGGATCCAAATCGTTCTCATTGAGACCCATCTTCATATTCACACAGACCTCATTGTAACCACTGAATATACATGAAATGTGATTAGAAGCCCATACCGCAAGTTGAGAGTTACAGTTCTTTGGTAGCACGACTTCTCAGTGGTATTGCCATGTCTCAGAAATGTACCCTACAGATGCTGCAGCAGAGTAGGAACACATTGCAGCAAGGTTCTGCCCTGCTGGAAGTAAGGCAGCGTCCTGCTGAAATCAGACAGCAGTACCAAAGCCAAAATTGGAAAGGCTGGAAGGAAAGCTTAAAAGGTATTATTCTTTCCACAAGCTAATTAGCAGGCAATGATTTACTGCCATCACATGCTACCTAACTTTCTTAAATTTCCTCTTAATAAACCTCATCCTGTAGTCTCCTCCACACAGGCATCCACAAACAGCACTGGAGCCTCTCAAGCATGAATGGAGAAAGACACCAAAGAGGGCAGAGGTGTGCTGGGCGCTATCTGAGAAATTTCTAGTGTGTGCTGAAAGAGATAAATGGGTGGTGATGTGTCTTGGAGGTCAGCTAACCCAGATCTCCTCGCATGCTCATTCTTTCTTTAGTTTATGAAAGCTGGAGAGCTTCTGGCAGCTAAACTGGAAGCAAAAGGAAACACCAAACAGTGCAAATACATTTTCCAGCCTTGTGACAGTGAAGAAGAGCACTCTTCTAGGGATATGTCAGTGATGTGAAGTGCCAGGATAAGGAGCTGGCAGCGCTCCCACCTCCCCTGTCCTAGTGTAAGAGGAAAACTGCTGGCAAGTGCAACCTGAGTTCTGATTCCTAGCCCATGGAAAGCTGCAAGGGGTCAGTGGCATATTGAAAACAGCAAAGCCTTCTAGATTGTGGGGCAGTCTGCTCCTGGAAAAACCTTATGAAGAAGCCCAAAGAGAGCCAGGGACCAGCAGAACTCTAAAGGGCAGGGCACAGTCCCTCTTCAGAGGACTTTCTGTGCCCTAGGGAATTAAAATGCCTGCCAAACCTTTGCTGAATCCATCTGTCCAAGGCACCTTGGAGGCTAGAGATACTGCAGCCTGATTTAAGCAATGTGTAGAAGATTTCAAAGAGACTATATTGGAAAGGACACAAATTCTTCACTAGTGACCCAGTGCAGCTCCAATGATTAAATGTCTCCTGATTCACCAGGACATAAAAGCCCATACACACTGTGAGGACACTCAGCACTGGCCTGGGCTTGCATTATGCCCTTGGAAAAAGAAGCACTAGCACCCAGCAAGCCAAGGGCAATCACAGAGTGTGGAAATTCCAGGGCAGCCTGTGGGGCGGTATCCACTTCCACCCAGTCTGAATTTGTGCCAGTAATACCAGGAACAAAAAGCAGAGGAGGATGTGCCCATACCAGAGAGCTTGTGCTTCCAGGTTCTCATAGAGGCCCTCTTATTTCAGACATCTATGTCTGGTTGTTAAAATAAGGGTAGGTTACAAGACAGAAGCATAAACAGAGTAAGATTTTAAGAGACTTTCTGTTCAAACCACTGTTGTTTAGAGCCTAACCCTTGAGATCCAGGAGGACAAATTGACTTGAAGGGCAAGAGATACTGTCCAGGGCACACAGGCACAAACAGCAAAAGAACAGCTCTGGGGGCAAAGCCTTACAGATCCTAAGGATGTGACCTCTCAAGGTTTGTCTGTGTATCCTACAGAGATGTGACGCATGTTAGAGAAGGATCCTGCAATAGGTCAATTTCAAACGTAATTCACTGGAGATGATTCTCTAACGTGGGCTGATCTGGTGGAACAAGACATCTGCACCCAAGACTCCATGACCT